AATGCTATGACTTCAGCTACATGTAGGAGGCGGAAACGAACTCCGTTAGGAAATGATGGAGCTATACGACAGATCACTCGAAATGCTTCCGATTCATCTACAGTATGAACGTTTTATTATGGTCATAATTTGTAAATATACACAAAAATACTTAAAAAAGGATATGTACTACAGATTTTCGTAAAAGCTAAAGGGATATTGAAATTTTGACACTACTAAATAAGTTGTTCATTCCTATCTTTAAAAAGTATCAGTAATAGTATACTTTTTTACTTTCTCTCTATATTCTTTTAAGTTATTTTTTTTAACAAATCAACTATATATTCTTATCTTTGGACAAATACATTACTGAATGATAGGATTGTCATTAGTTTAATGTTCATATAAATATATCTAATGTGTTTTTTTTTCAATAACTGACTTAAAATCTACTATAAACATAATGTATATAAGATAAATGTTCATCCTTTTTATCATTATGCTAATAAGGAGATAGTTAACTATGTTGACAGACATGTTTCAATTGAATTTCCACCATATTCATAAAATGTTAACAATAGTAATATGTTAATGCTCAAATTTAACGGCTAGTGACTTTAACTGATATGGACAGAATAATTAAGTAAATAAATGCGTCCTTCTCATTCATTATTTCATGACTATCGTTGACATTAATGTAAACGTCATTTAAACTTGTGTCATTACTTTAATCAAGAGAAAATTATTTTCGGAAGGGGTTTGTGGAGATTTTAGAAATTTCACAGATTGAAGTCATGAGTCTAATGGTTAACTGCTCGCGCACGAAACCAGTAGGTCCTGGGTTCGAATCCCGCGGGGTGCGGGATCGTGGATGCGCACTGCTGAGGAGTCCCATACTAGGACGAAACGGCCGTCCAGTGCTTTCAGGTTTTCCATGGTGGTCTAGCTTCAATTGACTCATGATTTCAATTTGTGAAATTTCTAAAATCTCCACAAACCCTTTCTGATAATAATCATCTGCTCACTACTGACTGACTTCAAGAGATACTCCTGGAGTTCTAGTGGGAAGCAGTTACCATTGGAGTTCAACCAGGTCTGTTGTGAGATATCAGCTCACTGAAGACAATGGTATACGGTGGCGCAACTTCGTGGATTGGTTGAAGTTAGACATTAACACCGTTGGATGCCGGCTCAGTGATCCAATGGTTAATCAAACTTCTGTCAATTCTACTATTTCGATTCAAGTATTTATTCACTCAATTACTATCAAACAAATTTTGAAAACGGTATAATTGATCTCATTAACTCAATAAACTTTAGTTTCTTTCTATCACCTAATTTTTATCAAACTCCCATACATATCAAAGTATATACATTCTTTTTTTGTACTCACTATATTCATATGCTTACATATTTATATAATTTGATTTATACCTTTCAATAAATGCTCCTATGATTATGGATAACATCAGTGGTTGTAAACTACTGAATAATTTTACGTCAGATATATACTTTTGTCAAAAGAATGTTTACTTTAAATAGCTAACAAAATTAAATTGTGACATTTTGAGACAGCAAATACAGGTCACAGGAAGTAATCTATGTTACAATCTTAACATTTGTATTGTTGTCAGTAATTTTAGAGATATAACATTAATAAAAACGAAATGAGGTTATGTTTGATTATGGTTACTAGAAAAATCCAGGATAAGTGATATTTTCCCTTGTATATCTATTCGCCGATTTTTTTTAAAATTTTAATGAATAACTAATGTAATGTACAGGAGAATAGTAAACACCTCATTTCACAGGACTACTTCCTATTTAAAAAGTGCGTATTAATTAATTTAACGAAATGAACAATATGAATAAAACTGTAACCTAAAATTGGGTATGATTGAAAATCACTGCTGTTATTTACCTTATGAGTAGTCATGTAGTCATTAACGAATAACTTCCAGAGGAACTTCTTGCAGGTGTAATTGGAAAAAACCATTAAAGTCATGAAAAAGTAACCTGTAAAATTGGGTTTTGTTTTTTCAATGTTTTAAATTAACGAAAGTTGTAAAAGTCAACTATCGGATTTCGATTCGGTTGTTGAATAGTATTGTGCTTAAAATAAAACTTACAATTTCTGTCTCATCTCTAGTTCACTTAAAAATTCACATTGCTAGTAAGTTGAAGTTCAAGATACAACAACTTTCTTGTTTTTAATAGTCTTCATTGGTTCACTGCCTGATGTCAGTTTATTCTGGGATGTATCTTCGGAAAAATATTTGTCTATCTAGTCGCATGTTATTACAAAACCGATAAACTGAAGTAAATTTTATACCACCCAGCTAAATGTCGAGTCTATACTTTTACCATTTAGAGTCTAGTAGCTAGACAGGATTCTTTATCATAATATAAAACGTTAAACGGTGTATTACATGAAAATATATCTTATCATTAAATTATACCTTGTAAGTGTACCTTTCACACTAAATGGAATTAATGTCCATAAAAAATTTCACGTACAGTTTTTTTATTCTCTTTAACTCCAACTATCTGAAACTGTTCATTGTCATGAATATATATTGATCAACGGTGTAAAGTAATTTATAAAATATAATAACAACGACTATGTATACCCGTTTCAAAATATTTTGGCTGTTTATCAATTCAAAAAAATTAAGAAATAACAGTATCATTAATTCAAGTAGGCTATGCCTCACCAAGTATTCATTAATATGCTTGAAACATCAACATAAATGTTTATTAAAACATGGTTTAGATTGTAGGCTTTGATTTGCAATAACATTTACATAAACAAAACATATTAAAGTAATAACTAATAATACTTAAAATGATGGTACCATGTGTAATATTTCAAATACGACTATAGTTTATGGATGGTAAAGTTAAAACGGTGGGACTATAATTTATGGACAACCTTTGAGCGACGCTAAACTGACCTTGAGAGTGTTCGCCTAATAACCAGGACCAAAGGAGGATTATAAACAAGCGTGAAGATTTAGAATTATGATTTACAGTTGATGGTTAGGGTTAGGAATTAGATTTAGAGTTTTCATCACGAACTGACATCAGTTATAATGCCAAAACTTTATTTATCCAAATAAATGGGTGAATTTCACGCCAAAATCCAAGATCTGTTATCTTATACCTGATTGGTTCGTCCATAAATTATAGTCTCACCATTAAAACATAAATAAAAAAATATCACTCTCAGTAATAGTTTTTATTAATATAGTTACAATACAATTATCATGAATATGATTCCAGTAAAATTCGGTAATATTCACCCCTAAAATGAATCATATATATATATATATATATATATATATATATATATATATGTAAAAGTTTCCAGTTATCCTGTGAAATAATCTTAGTTCTTGACAAATAACAGTTTCACATGTCAGATATTACTTCTCTCATAATAATAAAATGAGGTTAATACGTGTTGGTTAGAATTTCCTTTATACTAATAAAACCATTATGAATGAAAATAGCATAATGAACATGCGTACGCAGAAAGAAAGAAAAAGAAAGATTTTTAAAATGAAAATGTTATCAAGTGAATAATGACTATGTAAGTCATGGATAAAAAGAAGTATTTTATGGAAAGTGAACTAATGTTTCTTTTATTTGTTTTCTTTTCTGTTTGACCTTAATTTTGTTTTTATAACTTTCACTGGTATAGGGAACTAAATAGGCAAGATTTTTTCTTGAAATAGATTATACAACAAACAAAAATCAGGTCAAATACATATTTAAAAGCCACTTTCCCTACTTTGTTGGGGTTTTTTATTATTTTAATCAACATAATTATAAATTACTAAGTTAGACAATCATTGAAAACCTAGAAATACTCGATAGCTGTTCCATTTTTCACATGCGCACTAGTGATTAGATTCTATATAAAATTTCAGGAGTTCTACTAGGGAATTATGACAAGTGGATCTCAAGTTGAATTAAGACTTGTACACCGCTGAATCCGGCTCATCAGTCTAGAGTTTTGACATTTTAATTCAAGATAGAAGGCCCTGGGTTTTATCCTCAATGATGGGGTCGTGACTGCACTACTGAGGTGTTTCATACTAAAATGGAACAGCTACCAAGTACTTCCAGGCTCTCGGCAGTTACTTAACATAGATCGGTTCGTGAACTCAGTGACATTTAATGACCTTCAAAACCCCCGTACTGATACATTAAAAAGAAGAATATATTTGTAAAATCTCAGCGAATGAATTTTAAGTAAATCCAACGTTTCGCCTGGCAATCTGGTCCAAGCTGTAAAACCTCTTATGATGATTTCCGAAGTATTTTTGAAAATATCTTCTTCATGAATTTTTAATGTATTTACTATTTGTAACTTTGATGATTTCACTTCCTAATAAAAAACAGTAGACTGATAAATCACTAATTACAAAAACTGTCTAATTACCAGTAGTTGATAAACCAAATACTGTAATAATCACCTTACTAAATAATAAACTTAGTACTGCTTGAATGCGCTTTAAAATTATATGATCGGAACATCTGGAGTACAACTAGATACCTTGACAATTTCTCTAGCCTGATTTTATTAGAAGTTTTTATAACTTGTAATATAGTGCAAGCTATTCCCTAGTAATTTACATGCTACTGTAATGTTGTACGATAAAACAGGCTCAGAAATCTGAGACTTCTGTGAGGAAATCCTAGACAAAACTTTGTAATTTGTAGGCATTTGAAGTATTGGGATCAATTTCAGGTTAAATGTACCGATAAACTTAAAAGTGGTTAGTTATCGGATTGAAAACAATTAACAGCTCCTAGCATATCAATTGAAAATATTTAAACACTGTGTGGTGATTGTCAATGTTAGACAACTTAGAAAGTAACCAGGAAACAGTCGTTTGTTAAAATAACAATTTATTTCAACTGTTCTTAAATAATATGTTCATAAACTTGCTACATAAGACACTACATTCGATAGCTTTTAACTAATTTTTTTCTTATATCATTTGCTATTTCAGATTGTCAGCACGTTATCCAGAGGATGTCCAACTCATGGTCCACACTTAATTTTACATCATGATGAACACAGTAACTTTTCATCGCCAACAAGAATTTACGCTGTCAGCTCGGTATTAGAATCATTTGGTAGTTTTACAACGACAATAACAACATCACCTACTTCAACTACTACAAAAATACTAACTGATCAAACACAAACTGCATATGAATTAAGATTAGAACCAATTTTATCTGATGTTACATTAACATCAACAACATCGACCACAGATGATGATGGTCTCGATGTTGAAAACGGTGATAATGAACATCGAATAGATAATACAGGAACAATCTCATGGATTCCTGTTTCAATACTTACTGAAAATTTTACTACACCTATTCATCACTCAGACTTTATTTGTAATGAGAATAAATGACTCATTCACAATGACTTAATACTAAATAAGTACGGTTCATTATAGTACTTATTATTGATAATATTTAATGATCTATTTTTGCAATTTCAAAACAGTAATTATTCCTCAGTTTATAGAAATAATTAAAATTTCAACATTATTTGGGTAAAGTTTCAATATGTGAGCAATTACATATAAATATCCAGTAAAAAATAATTTCATCACTGATAGGGGACAAAAATACTTCTAGAGAAAGCATTTTGAAACAACAACAAAAAAACAACTATGAAGAGAAAACTGCCTCTAGATTTATATATATACAAATGGTAGTCCTTCATTCTTTTTCTAAAAAAACAAAAGCAGTACTTTTTTGTTGATTAATTCATATGACGTGATGTAAACTATCTTATTATGAAAAAAAAAATGACATTTTGAAAAATATTATCGTTTTGTCAATTGAGTGGTAGTGTAAAAGAAGTACGCGATAAAGAAATGTTTACTTTACCAAGAGTGTTTTAAATAGTCGAGTTTCTCAGCCAACTAATTGTATCAAATGGCACTTTTACAGTATAACTGACTTATTGATTAAGTTACGGACGAATGAACCAATTAACTGATAGAATAATCGGCAAGACTGTAATTTACGGACGAGCCAATCAGAGGCGTTTTAGAGACTTTGAGGTTACGGCGCCAACTTCAGTGCTTAATGCCAACGTACGATCGGTTCACAACGAATTTTGTACAAAACGTGATAATTGAGTGGCTATGACAAACAAAACGACGGGACTATAATCAGGTATAAGATAATAGATCTCGGATTTTAACTCGGAAGCCTTTCATCCATTTGGCTAAATAAATTTCTGGCATTGTAGCTGTTGTCGGTTAGTGATGAAAACCCTATATATAATTCCTAACTAAGGCAAATTACGACAATTATTGCAAACTGGATAATAAAAGCACCAGTAACACTGGCTGCAGCAAGGTACTACATTATACACGGATGTTTGGAGAGCGTACAGACTCCTACATAGGCCTGGTTATGTGCATCGTGCCGTTATCCATAAGTAGCATTTCGTGTACTCAACAACCGGAGTGCACATAAACAATATTGAAGCTATGTGGTCGAGGCTGAAAGAGTATTTGAGACTTTATCATGGCTCCAGAGGCCGACTATTCTGTAGCCGTATGGATGACTTCCTCTACTGCATGCATTACGATTTTAGGACCTCTGAACCTCTTTCTAACCTTGACAAGTTTTTGAACCATGTATAAGAAGTGTATCCACTTTATGTATAACATATTTTTACTCTATACTGACTGTTTTCTGATTGGCTAATGTTTCTCAAGGTCGCTTAAGATTCGTTCAAAGGTCGTCCACAAATTAGAGTCTCACCGAATAATCAACTAGTTGATGTATTTAGTGAATACATCAGTACAATAGTATATTGTTTTGACTTTTCCAAATAGCTTAATAGTCGAATTCATGGAAAACCTGGTTTTCCATGGCGGTCTAGCTTTAATCGACTCATGAGTTCAGTTATTAAATTACTGCAATCTCTACAAAACCCTCTTTCTGATAATTTTCCAAATAAAACAATTTTGAGTAAGAATCAGTGGTTTTTCCATTAAAACCTTTATTATTTAATGGTCAATATTTTTCAATTAAGTCGTAATCTAATTTCTAGTCCCAATCACCTGTTATTGTGATGTACCTTATTTGATATTAATTTATTAGGGTCAACTGGAAGGAAGTTCTGAAAGTATACTTAGTGTTTGCTGGTACTCGTCAGTACGGTATATACGCAAACTTGAGGGGACTAATGAAACCCAAACTTACGTCGCTCACTACTACTGTCAGGGGAAATAACACAGAGATCTTCAAACTGTGAATGACCTGTAAGATAGAAGTATCTTTACTAACAACAATGATGATTCTCCGTGACTGTTGTGGTTGAGTTTCTATAAGTCTATTTGTTAACTGTAAAATTAAATAATTTCTATATATTATTGTTTAGTCAGTGTTAATACTCTTCATATATAATTATTCACCTACATTAAGGTTCATGAACTTTTCCTCTTAATATTTAATAACGTCAATTGAAAGCCAATTTTCCTTTTATTATTAACTCCCATGATAAAACAAAATCTTCATTAAAAAGTTCTAAATAGCTTTTGGTGTTGTTGAGCTATCTGAATTAGATGATTTAGTTGGATAGCTTTCATCTTTATTATGGGAAACAGCTACTGTACTTACTGCATCTAGAAGCGAGCTTCTTAGTCATTCCATGAGTCTTGAATCAGTTTGTTCTGGTGGGCCTCATTGTTATTCGTTTTTGCTGCAAGTTACATTATCTTCAATCGTCCTTGTATTTTGTTCTGTAGACCTTAGACCAAGTTGTTGCTTGACTCGTGTTTGCATGTTGTAAACATCAGTGACGTTGTCCAGAACGAGAATGAAAGCTCAACAACTAGATCATCTAGTACACAGAACGTAAGACCATCAAAACCATCCACCTAAACTATAAATCTTCTCCATCACTTCAAAACTAAACAGTATGTATTTTATATATTTTATTTCATGAGAAATAGTTATTAAGCATCAGTTAATTTATTAAAGTACCTCCTCTTCATGGATCACTTACCGAGTGAAAAAAAGTTCTAATTCCAAATAATTCTAATAACCATTCACTTTTTTCTTCGACTTTGTACTTTAAATAAAGATTTTCATGTTTGTGAAAAAGTCTGTTGAGAAAAAAATAGGAGAAAATAATATGCATAGTGGAAATTTCACCACGGACATTCCAAGTTCACTACATAATCTTCAGTTTGTTCTTGTGTGAATTCACATTATAGGACTTACCGATTGTTACACCGTAGTCGTCAATGAAACCTTTAAGTAAACCTATTAAAATATCGAGGGAATAATATAAGTTCAATGAAATTTTCATGAATTTGTTTGTTGTCATAAGCCAGATGAGTATAACATACATTGCATAGTTACTCTGAAAAAAAAACGATATGACATTTATGGAGACCGAATGTTGTGAAATAAAGTGCTAAAAACCTACATATAGATACTCTAAAAGTAGTCATTTATTCAGATCAGATAGTTAATTGGAGCGTTCCGAAAAGACCTGTATTTGCGTTTAGGAAATAAATACTAAACTGTAAGGTAATACAATTCGCAAGTGTAACAGCTTGATGCTAAGAAGCTAAAATGTGTAAAATTACCACTGTAATAGTAAAATGAACATTTCATCTAAATCCCTTTCAGTCAATAATGTCATTTTATGCTAGTGCTACTTGGTTGATTGTTATTTCATCCACTTCCTAACAGATCTTTCAATTTATCATTTGATCTTAACTTACTTAATTCTTAAAACTTAAACAGTTCGATTCAAAGTTTCTATGATTACTGAGTAACTAATTAACAAACTAGTTTTAATGATTCTGGTCTCATCCTAAAGCAAGCTTGAGTAAATGAGTCAGATGTCGTGGATTGTAATATAATCTGATTACTTGGTTATTAATAGAATTTCACATAAGAAAACAATTCAATAAAGTCAATAACTCAGTTCAGATTTATTTTACAATAGCAACAACAGGAATGCTAGATATTCTAGTTTAGAATGATTAGGGTGATAATACATAAACTGTCGGTTTATCCCAACTTAGCATCGTTATTAAACTTTTTGTACTTACTGACCTTCGTTTAATTTAGATTTTTATTGTCTTAAAACCTTTAAGAACCCAGAGGATGATTCTATTTCTTATACATCATTAGTTAATCGACTTTCAGAGAATTTTGATTTGCATTTACTTATGAATGTGTTTTATCTATGTATCTGGGCCTCACTTATCATCTTACTCGTATATCCATACATGAGTTCGAAATCTTGAAGAGTAGGATCCATACATAACACTTTGAGAGTTTACTAATGAGGGTTAACTCATTATTAACCTTAAACAAGATACAAAGATGATGAAGTTTTAAAAGCATTTACCCAATGCTCAAAGTCCTGTTTTGTTTGAAGCATATGAAGTGTTCCATCGTTTTTCTAAACCTCTCACTATCTACTGCGACTGTGAGGCGCGATTTATGCTTGTTTAAGAACTATAAATGTACAAACGGCGGTGAAACCAGTCATAAAATGGATTCTGCGAACTTCCCAAGGCCCCATCATATCGTCATTTGTGTACTTCTAATTACCGAGTATCCAAAAAATTAATCCTATTTTGCGATCAGAACTAACCTCAAGTCCAGACGTATTTTGTATCGATTAATGTATATTCTAGCATTGTCACTTCTTCGTTGGATATTGAGTCTAATGTTATTTTGGTTCTTAGTAGCACTTAATACGAACTATATCAGCCAAGTATACATCCTGAGACAGATTGTGTAAATACTGCTTCTGGTGGTTTGGTCAAAACTATTGGCTTAATTAAGTGTTTTATTCGATTTGATGTTCTAGTAATTAAACCCAAATATTGTTTCACCGATAAGCTACTCGGTTTGTGGGGTCTCGATTGGATCATGGAGTTAAATATATTTGAGCAACCATTTGATTTCACTAGTGACCCAGTTTCCAGTTCAGCCTTGTCCCAGTCCTCATATTTCCATATGAGTGATAAATTTTAGTAGACGTTCTCCAGTTTTTTAAGGAATAATACTGCTCACCGTACGGCCGTACGTTTAGAATCAAATTGAAGACCAATTTTTCATAGAAACGACCAGTTCTATGTGCAGCCTAATCATTAGCGGACAAAGAATTCAACATATTGAAAGAATTGACCATCTTCCATTTGTTTACTTCTTCATGAGGAGCGCTCATTTTGATGAGAGAAAAATTAAGTGACTCAAAACGATAAGGCGTCGATTTTTCAACTAAACTGAATTATTTCCTAGAAATATATTGTTATCAACCCGATATTTTAGAACTAAATGGAGTCAGCTTCTATGTTCAGGTTGATATAGCTAGTGTCTACGAGCAGGTAGCAGTAACAAAGAGCGCTGAGAATAA